AATACATAATATATGAGAATTAAATTAAATTAAGTTGCATATGTAGACCTCTATATTGTTTTTAGTCAAAAAAATAAATCATACGTAGTATTATTTAATATAATATCTCATACATATTTACTATGTAAATTGTAAGTTTTTTAGCTATTGGTTGGACCGCTGGAGAGGGTTAATTTTAATATTCATATATAATTATTATTTAGAATAGAAATTCTACAATATATCACACACTATGCAAATCGATTAAAATTAAGTTTAATCGATTTAGAGACATTTCATGATTTAATTCAACTTCAAACTAGACTAAGTGATGCTCCGTAATACATACTCCGTATTTAAATAAGGGGAAATTTGAATTCAAACCCCTTGTTTGAGAATATTAGATTTTACAACCTAATGTTAAAATCATTAATTTGTGCAACTCCATCAACTCAAAATGTAGTGGTTCAAAATGTTTTTTTCAATAAATTCAACAGACTATATCAAACTAGAACACTAGCGAACTTGTTCTGCCTCAAAAAGGTGTTGAATTTGAGTCAACAACTTTGATATCAATATTAGTTGATGCAATTTTTCCATTATGATGTAAACGACATATATCGAAATTTGACCTTTATTTTTTCCACATCTACCCCAAATAATTCTGGACAGGTCACAATAAGGTTCGATAAATGTCGAACTTAGACTTCAGAGTTTGTTAGTAGCAGATAGAATTTGGATGAAATTAAAACTGTAAGGATCGTATATCCGTCTCCGGCTCAGGTCTATTCCACACACTCTCACACACCACTCTAGGAGGAAGCTATGGCACACACTTTCTACTCTCCACTAAGACCTCTCTACACTCACACAAAGGAGGAAGAAGAAGTGAGCTCTGCTCTCTCTGGAATAATACTCACGCAGGCTGCTTCAAAATAGAAGAAACAAAGGACTTCAAATAGGCTGCCAATAGAGTCACAGGTGAGGCTTGACAAAAGACACTGACATGCTACAAAGACAAGGAAAGTCACATGTATAGGCCAAGACAAAAGGGGATGTAGCGGACAGCAAACAAAGGGGCCAGCCAAGTGGGTAAGTCAACCACTCAAAGAGGTATACATTTGATCAGGATATATACCAAAGAAAAGATATCCAAGAGAGAGTAAAATAGAGTGTGCAAGCCTCAACAAATAAAATGGAAGAGATGTCTTGGTAGGACCAATACCTCCAACAAAAACATTTGAACACAAAAATAAAATGAATTTGGAGCATTCGATTTAAGAATTATAAATTATGTGAAGTAAAAATATGCAATATCACAAATTAGAAAATGCAGATGACAATAACTTTTCTACACATTTGAAGAGTGCATTATTTTAACCATAAATTTGTCCTGCCATGAATAATAATGTGTATAGTTTCGGGTCCATCCCATTTGTCACCGGAAGAAGTGTTCCACAAAAATCAGTCCCTACATGGGAAGGTTTGAATGAGAATCCATTTAAATATATAGAACTCATTTGTCAATGAGACTTTTGATCTTCATCGTTCATATGTATGAATCTATAATAAAAGACATCTTGTGCGTGAGTATGTTACTATTTATATACTATCTAAATTTGTTCTCTTCGATCTAATATGTTTATGACCCATCTTTAAATTTGATTTGAGACTAAAATCTAACCAATTTAAAAGACGTCTCAACAATTGACTTGCAGAGTTTTGTTGTGGCCCTCCTTAGTTTCAGTGTTTTGGAGGGTTGGTCGATTTGGCCAAACTTGGATAGAATTGGATTGTTTTATCGTGCTGTATGACTCAATTCGGATGAATGATGCATCGTTATGATGATGAAAACAACTATTTATCTCAAATCTGATTAGGATTTATGCTTTATATCCTTGTGTCATGCCGTAGGAATCCTCCTAGACTCCTAGTAAAGATTTTCATATCTTCTACTCCGTATCTATTGTCCAAAAGGTTGAATTCCCAACCCCAAGAGACTCCAAGTACGCCCCGACTCGACAAGACTTTTGGTGGGATGTAAGTCACGATGACTCAGTCAGTCCAATAGTGGTAGACCTTGTACCCGTGAGCACCAAAGGTCCAGCTGATATGCACTAATTAGTAGTGCATAAATGTATGTTTTTATGTTTGATTTGTGTGGATTGTTTATCATTTTATTTAGTTTGTAAACATTTGTGTGATTTTAGATGTAGTTTTATTTTAATCTTCATTTGTAAGTTGTAAAGTAGAGTTAGGAATTATGTTGTTTAAAAGGAGGACTTTGAAGTGAAGAAAAATGATATTTGACTGCCCAGAAGTTAAAACCCGACTGGGTAGGACCTTGCACCTGGTTGAGCAAGAAGTGAAAACCGAAGATGCTCAGGAAATTGGCAGACCCGGTCGGGTCCCTTACCTCACCCGATCGGGTCAGATGTGACCCGGGACAAAACGATGTGCTGAAACACAAGAACGTGGAGAAATATTTGATTTTGACCGGTACCTGGTCGGGTGGCCGGGAACTATACCCGGTCGGGTACCCGGCCAAAGGTGTTGAAAACACCTATAAATATCACACTTTTCTTTCACAAATAATCATTCCTTCTTCCATACTCTTAAGCTCAGTTTAGAATAGTTATTTCTTATATTTTTATAGCATGTTTAGTCTCTAAATGAGGAGCTAAACTCTCATTTCTTGGTTTTGCTCTTGAAGCTTGTTGATTATTAAAGTTGTAAGTTATTTTTTTAACTTCTTATCTTGATTATTAATTCTTCCCTTAATCTCATTCTATATTAATGTTGGAGAGTTGCTAAGTGACAATTAGTTAACGTTCCGACATTAATTATTACTAGAAACGATCAACGAACCGATGGTTAATCGTTGATAGTTTCATAAGTAAGTAACTTCGGTTTATTAATGCACGGCTATGGTTAATAAACTTAAGAGGGATTAATTTTGTTGGTTAAACCGAAACTGTTGTGTTAAGGTTATCAATCTCAATTGATTTCATCAAGGAGTTAAGTAGATTAAATGCTACTATTAAATCGGTATACGATGTTGTTCTATATTTGATTAATAGTAAGGGTTGTTAATGAACAGTCGTTAATAATTACCCTCGATGAATTGGAGATACTCCTCGATTGAGTATTCAAGAGGGGATACGTTATATATATAACAATGATCGACTAAAATATATCAACAAGTGAAAAAAGTAGCAAAATCAAGTCCTTTTTATTCTTGAATTAAATCTCATATAAGTCGTTCATCTTCGTATTTAATTAAATTAAATCACTCAATCCCAAAACCCCCCTTTATTTACTAGTTTTACTACAAAGAGAATTATTCCTTTCCATGTGGATACGAACTCTACTTCACCTATACTACGTATAAAGTGCTAGTATCAAATTTATTTTGACGTACTACGACGAAGTGCTCGTCACCAGCCCAACACGCAGGAACTGTAACCTCCACATGATCGATGCGGGATTCGATCCAATATCATTGTCCAATTTTTCCACCATTCAACTAACTGAACTATTCAACTAACTGAACTATCTATGCCGGTTCTTCTCTCTATTTTCATGGATTGAAAAACCAAGCCATTTACTCGGAACTACTTTCATTTAAATTGAATAATATCAGACCACATACAAAACATGTTGAGTCTTGTATATTGCATTGTTCAATTTGAATTTAATTATAAGTGTCGTATATCTTGTTCTGTTGACTTTGAATTGAATATTGTAATGGTGTACGATATTATTATATGTGTAGTGTGTGCTTTATATTTGAATATGTAAATATTGAGTTGAATATTTATTACGTATGCTATTAAAATAACGGAAACTAGGTTAATTATGTCAAAATATATTAACTATCAACCAAGGCTTATTAGACATGGTTGTAACTATAGACTCTAGTTGGCAACAATTTAAAAATATGTTTGGGAGAAAATTGATACTCGAAGTTATTGACTAAGAATTTGTTTGATAAGCTCATTTGTGGATTATCAATTTATGAATATTAGTCAACTTTTCTATCTATGAATATTAGTCAACTTTTCTATTAAATGCATAACTTTTGATTTAATAAGATGAAAATAAGTAAAGTTTGAGTTATATATTGATTAAATCGTCTAGAACTATTACATTATACGAGTACATTTTTTCTTATTTTATAAATAAAACATATTTTAAATTTTTATATTTCACAATTCAACAATTTTTTAATCCTGGTGGACAAACAACCTAAGTCGATGGGCAAATATCGGAGAACATTTGCCCTGTTTTATTAAAATAAAGACATGATACACATTGAGAGAGACTCACATCTCGCAATTCAACATATTCAACCAATTTAGCTGCTTAAATGAGAACTTGACATAAACAAAATCAATCAAATTTTTTATGAAGTTTACTCTAAATTACAATACCTTGTCTAGAATGAAGTGATTTTGTTTGACTACACATTAGAAATAGTGCTAGCAAAATATTACTCCGTATAAGTTTCATCGAAACCAGATAAATTTTGAAAAAAAGAGGTAAAATTGTCTTAAAGTTGCTCAAAAATAACCGACCAAATGAAACGATAAGATGAAATTTATAACGTTTAATAAAATGAGTCGATCTAGCCTAAACAGTTCTCCGTACTTCGTATCTATTGTTTTTAAACATTGTTGACTATTTTAGAAACCTATTTTTCTTTTTAGCATAAGATCAAAATATTCAAAAGAAAAGCAATTCTCTTTTTAAGAGTTCACTAACCCAAATATATCTTGCACATGTATTTTACACATATTGAAATCAATGGTACAGTATATTCATCAAAGAATAGAATTAAAAGTTTGTTGCAGAATTGGGGATGTGATATCCAATTTGTAAATATGGAGGGACAATTTACAAAACCAGTAGAAATGAAACTGTGCAAATAAATATAGAGAATAGAGCAAAATTGCAAAACCAGTAGAGATAAAACTGTGCAAATAAATATAGAGAATGGGGCAAATAGCAAAACCAGTAGGGATGAATCTGTGCAAATATAGAGAGAAGAGGGGGCAAATTGCAAAAGTTGGATGCCATTAATGAAGGTTGTTCTCCAAAGGGCGTATCACGAACGCACACCACCAAAGGAAACACCGTACATCTCAACCCGTTTGTAAGGTACAACAAATCTAACCCATTAAAAGAAAAAAAATCACGGGTCGGGTCGGTTAAAGCCTACAAGGCCCTAATTGAGCTCTACCAAAAGAAAAAAAACAAATCCAGAATGGCCGCCGCCGCCGCAGGTTAAAAGAACGACGCCGTCACCGCCGCCGTTCATCCTATCTGAGCATGGAAGTTAGTGACCGGAAAACGACCTCCTCGCAGGGGATAGTGATGCCCATGTCGTGGTCGAACCCGAACTCCTCCTCGGCGCACCGGAGGAGGCACTGGAACTCCGGGTGGCTGAGAAACGAGATCGGGACGATGTGTCTCGTTCTGTTCTTCCCGACGTACACCGCGAAGTGCCCCTTCGGGACGTCCACCGGCGGCGCCGCCTCGTCTCCATCGCAGCCGTTTCGTTTCCCGATGCTGGAACATCTCCTCAGGATCTGCTTTAAAACGGCCGATTGGAGCGGCAGCTTGCTGGATTTTCTGATCGCCATGGCTTGATTGACTGATTAAGCTATAGATTGAAAATGGGAATAGATAGATTGAAAACAGAGGGATTTGGAGGTATTTATTTAGGAAGGAAAAGAGGATCGTTCTGTTGTGTGAGGGTTGGGGGTGGGGCCTATGGGGGGTAGTGGGGGTAGGGGGGGTTCATGTGGGCTTGGGAGGAGGAAAGGACAGAACACGGGCGGGCGTTAGAAGTGTGTGTACAGGGTTAAGGGACACTGAGTTGGAGTGGGATCCAGTCCCCTTACACGTCTCAGGTTGACCGTGCCCTGCTTAATCTCACTATACCTCCTAATATGTGAGATTTAAAGCCCGTTGGGAGATCTCTTTTTTCGGCTTATCAGACTTATCAGTCAGTTTTTTCACCAAACACGTAATTTTTTACTTTCGCACGCTGAAATGTGTAATAAGCAGAAAAAGTAAGGTTGGAGTTAGCTGTATTGGCTGAAGTTACTGTAGATGACCATTTTAACTATTTTTGCATATAATTTTTTCTTTATTTTAATAATAAAGTGGAGTATATTTTTAATTTTTTTTCCTTGAAACAGCAGAATCAGCCAAAACAGCCACTTCAGCAAGAACTTCATAAATTTCAGCAGAATCAGCCAAAAAAATCGATTTTCATGCTATCAAACGGGCTCTTATTTCAACAATTTATGCATTAATTGTAACGGATACATGGCTTCCTATTTTTAGATCCTTATTAATAATAGTTATAATTAATTGAATTGATTCAATCCATCGAAATTTATGAAATTTTGGAGTTCTCTCATTGAAATGATTGAATCGGATGAATCGGTTGAGGTTGATGAAATTGTAGTTGAAGCTGTTGAATTACTATATTATTTAGCGCGCAAAATCAACAGTTACATATTTAGTAAAATTGATAAATAAGCTAAAAATATCAAACAAGCTCCCAATTCAATCGACTGAATTTGCCAAATGATGAAAAAGTCTATTAGATATGAAGTATTTTATTAGTAAAATAAAGAAAAGAATAGATTAAAAGTAACTAAAATAGTCGGATTAAATCAATTCTGTCTGAAAAGTATCTTCAACCTCATTAATATTTTTGTTATCAAGGTTCGGTTTGGTTTAGTAATCAGTGTGCTCTAATCTACTTACTTAATAATAAAGTAGAACCTTGCAATTGAAATTGAATTCTCAAAATATTTGCTATTGAGTCCAATTAAGAAATTTAATTTTGCTATTGAGTACACTAATTGAAGTCCGTATTTACAAAATTTAGATATTACCCTTGGCCAGTTAATTGATTCTCAACTCTCAAGGCACGTAATATTTTACATTCTATATTTTGAATTTTGAATATTTTACCCATAATTAATGAATAATTAAAGTATCAAAGAAAGGAAAGAAATAAATATGAGTAATTGATATTGATATGAAATACACATATAATTAAGATTGATCATACGTATACTAGATATATTCCATATTTGAATGTATGAATATCAATTAGAACTATGAATTGAATAATAGATTGACTAGGAAATGATTCGTTCATGATCCTTATTTTCTAGAATTTTCAGAAATGTTTTGAAGAACTGTGACATTCATCCTCTTTATAGGTATCCAGAATTTCCAGAGCTATTTTGAACAACTGGTACGTTCATCCTCTATCTTCCAGGATCTGCCCGCTTTCAAATACATTGATAAAGTACAAGTTATAAATTAAATTTCAAATTCAACTTTTGTGAACCAATTCTTATTACGTAAATTGTTCTCCAATATTGTTATTACAGTGCTTCTCCAATATAAATTCAAATCATATTAGGCAAAGCATACATTTGTCAATGGTGTGTGAACTATAAGGGTTCAAAATTTTCAAATTTTAATCAGGATTTATATTAGCATGGTCTCATACTCTCATTCCCAAAACTCTAAGAGATAGTCAACTTAGAATTTCAGTTTGGAAGAAAACTCATCCCCACCCTCTCAGGTTGAATATCGACGCAACTTTCTTTAACGGAAGGAACACCAGAAATTAAAGCCAATATTGATTAATTTAGACGTTTTGCAACATTTATATATCAGTGTTGCATAATGTTAACAGTTGCTACTTTATGTAACAAACAAAATAAGTGTCATAAAGAAAATGTTACAAAAACCATTTTTTTTTGTAGTGCAAACAACATGTTTTAGAATTATTTTAATCATATCTACTACTTCAATAATAAAGTACAATTTTATAATTGAAATTGAATTCTCAATTAATTGCTATTGAGTCCAAATATTGAATAGTCATTAATTACAAGTAAGTCCTAAATTCATAATATTTACATATATTGTGGAGTATCAATATTTTAAATAAACTACAAAGAATGTAATCATTCCATTTAGAGAGAATATGTATATTTAAAATATTTTGGTAATATTGAGTTCCATTTCGTATTTTTGAAAGTTTTATTGAGTTGATTCTAGAAAACCACGTATAAATTGAAAAAATTCATTCGCTATTTGTAAATACTTTGTATATTTTGTTCCATGATATTCATATATTTTGTATAATTTGAAATGTTTTTATATATTTCATATTGCATTCAATTTATATATTAATACTATATTTCAAACCCATGTGATGCACGAATGACCTATAATACGTGAGAAATATTAGTTCAATTCTAATAAGCCCTTATAACTTTTATTGAAAAAGTAACTTAACTAAATTTATTTCATATTTGTACATATTTATTCATATTCATGGTATATTTTTTTATGGGGGTTTTAGTTCCTTGAATAAATTACTAATAAAAAAATTATGAACAGAAATATTACTTAGTAACTATTAGTGATTATAATTGTGTTTATGTTTACATCGTAGTAACTTACATGTAATAAATACGATGTAAATTTGAACGTAGTTATATAGTCACTAATAGTTACTACGTAACATTTTTGTCCATCACGTTTTAAAAAGTAATATTAATGAAACTTTTTCTTTTTGTATTCTACAATATTAAGTTTCTTTTAATGATAATAATTATTTTTATTAAAAAAACATAATCCATACGTCCCTTAAAGTTTTACGAACTTTTCTTTTTGGTTATTCCACTAGCTTTGTCACTTTCCATTTTAAGTAAAGAATTTGTTGTTCCAGTTAATTCTTTCTCCTTTGCACAAACCTCAACCACACTATTTTTACTTTATTAATTAATCCTCATGTCGGTCAAACTGGCCAAGTTTTAAGGGACAGAGAGAGCACACGTGGGAGCTCAGTTAGCCATTTCCCAATGACGTCGTGCGTATGTGGACAGCCATGTGCGCGCCGCGTCAGCGCGTGACATGCTGACATGGCAGATAACCTGTTAATTGACTAAATTGAACGTTTTTCATAGTTCGGGTGTTTGATTGATTTTTTTTTTAAAGTATCAGGACCCAATTGACTTTGTCGTGATAATACAAGGACCAAATTGACAGTTTTCTCAAGAATAAATTGATTTTTTTTAAAAAGTGAATATAATATTTATTCTTATCATTCTGTTCCAATAAATGCAATCACAAGATAGTATATATATATATATATATATATATATATATATATATATATATATATATATATATATATATATATATATATATATATATATATATATATATATAGATGAAACTTCATGTCAGGCCGGCCTGACGGGCTGCCCCGTCCGGCCGAGCCCGTTTGGGCACCTTCCTGGTGGAATTTTTTGATGAAATTTTTTGAGCATGTTCCTCATCAAGTCTAGTTTGTCCATACCAAATTTGAGCTCAAAATTCGATCGGGAAGGTCGTCAAATGATTTTTGCAAGTTAACTGGTCCGGAAAATACATATTCCAGACCAGTTAAGTTGCAAAAATCATTTGACGACCTTCCCGATCGAATTTTGAGCTGAAATTTGGTATGGACAAACTAGACTTGATGAGGAACATGCTCAAAAAATTTCATCAAAAAATTTCACCGGGAAGGTGCCCAAATGGGCTCGGCCGGACGGAGCATCCCGTCAGGCCGGCCTGATGAGAAGAGCACTCTATATATATATATTGTATGCGATTAATGTCAAAATCAGCATGTTGCAATTATATATATACAGGAAAAAAGTAGTATATTTATGTTGATTTGGTATAATTCTATTCTGATAAATGGAATCACAATAGCACGTTGAGGTCAAAAATTATGTAGATAATGCACAATACAAGTAATTATTGGTCATATGTATCAAATAAACTCCATCCACGTCTTCTACTTTCAAAGCTAATTTCAACTCATCATTTGATTTCCTGTTCACATAAATATTATCGTACACTCTACCTATAATGTTCATCAAGGAAGTGCTAAGGCAAGACTGTTGCATGTCGTGTCTTTGATTATATGAGATGAAGCACTGATGATTCATGATGAAACATCATGGGAGTATGATATATAGAAAATGGACATATATTTTTCAGAAAGAAGATCATTGTTCTTGGGGAGAATATAAGGAGAATGTGTTTATCATATTGAAGGGAGTTAGAGATAACCAATGTGATTATAGTGGCGATTAACTCTTCACACTTTGAGATTGTTGTTCAATTCTTTTTCTCACGAAGAACACAAGACTAATAATATATCATAATGACTTGAACAAACAAAAATTGAAGAGTTTGCTATGTGGGTTGTTAAGCTAAGAGATGATGACATTAGAGTAAAAAATTAATGATGATTTTCGTGAAGTGGGAATGAGTGATTTGTTTCTAAGGTAATAGATGATCATATCATAGCTACAGTTGAAATCACATATTCTGAGTTTTGAGATATATATTTTACAAACGTATAAACTCCCTTTAATTAATTTGCTATCCACGTTGAACAATCATTTATTTAAAGCAAAATGATGAATTTTTAATATATTGTATAAAATATACGGAGTAGTTTTTTTTTTAATATACATGTTACAAAGTACTCAAACATTTTCAAAACCCACCCGGGGCAACGCCCGGGTAAAACACTAGTTTGAGACTAAAGTAAACAAGTTCACATAAAATCACTCATAGAGTTATTCGGATTTGAGACTAAAGTAAACAAGTTCAC